GACGCTGGCCAACATGCTGCCGTTCGGGCGCCAATCAGCAGGCGGACTGGAGCAGAGGAGGGCGGGGTTTCCCACCATTCCTGTTCTCTAAAGGGGCGGTCCTAGGGTTTGATGAGGGCGTGGCCAGGTTTGGGTGGGGGCGTGGCCAGGGGAGGGAGGTGAGTTCCACCACCTTTTCTCTGAGAAAAAAAGCCCTGGAAATAGTTAAGATTTTGGGGAGCACTTTGAATTTTTGTGGAGCATTTTATCCAAGTTTTAATTTAGATTATAAGTTTGTCATGCTTAACCAAAATGGCCATTTTTTTAAAAAAAATAATCATTGAAAAAACAAAACTTGCACCAGCTACATTCCATGATCCCAGATGTACTTGGATATAACCCTTTAAAGTACTGAATCATTGCCACCTGCATTTTACAAAAAAAACAAAACAAAAAAAAAAACCCAAGTTGGTGGGGTTTATTGAGATCTCACAATGCTGACACCAGCCAGCTGATTTATTTTCCTCCAAAGGTAAAGAAAGAGATTGATGGGGATCAATGATAGTTAGTTTGATGGCAATGTGATTGCTTCTGAAGACCATCTGTTGGGAATCTAGTGGACTTCCTTGTGCAGCTGGTTGGCCATTGTGAGATCAGACTGCTGAACTAGATGAATAGGACACTGCTTATGTTTTTGCTTATGTTTTTAAAAGAAGATCCACAAAGCCACCTCATGACTCAAATGAAAAGATATCTATAGCAGGGAAATATATTACAAACACATAATGTAAGTCTGTTTAATCTGATCCTGAAACTACCCCTATTACTGAGTTTCAATAGATCTGGATGTAACAGTTGCCCCAAATGAAAAGGTTCCAACATGGATAAATAAATAAGTTATGCTAGTAGTATTTGACTTGAGAGATTCTCATTTACTTATCTTACATTTTGAAGTAATCAGCTTAGAGGAGAAGTCCCTTCTCTGGGACTAAACTTTTAAACAAATGTATCTAATTTTTCCTTTAAACAAAATGAGCAGCCTCAGGCAGTTTTACAATGTGTGGTGCTAGCACAAATCTAACACCAGAGTTACAATGAATAATGAGTTTTAATTTTAATAAAAGGGAACCAAGTGAATTGTTGCAGAATTTTTAAAAAAACTGATATGAGTTCTAATTACATACAAAAACTAGCAATCAATAATCAGCACACAAATAAATGAAAAACAAACCAGAAAACCAAAGACCTGGACAAAAAAAGCATTGAAAAGTAAAGCATAAGGGATTTCTCCCTATAGCTGCTCCACCAAGTTTATTTTATGGGCCTGGGGGGGGGCAGGGTTGCCGGAGTTTGGGGTAGAAGCCTTGATTTATTGGCTGAGTCAGTAAACCTGTTTCTGTTATTTCCTACCACTCTGAGAATATGCAACTATTAACTGACTAGGAAAAATATCCTACCTCTCATAGGAGCTTTACAGAACTATAGAAATCTAGTCACTAGCTAATCTACAGCTCTTTATTTCATTAGAGAATCAATTTAGTTGGTGAACCTAGCTGGCACTGCTCACAGTTTTAAGAAGAGGAGGCGTTTGGTAAGGTATGTTAATTTCCTTCAGTGAGCTGTAAGGAAAGTACCTATTTTTTCATTAAATGCTGTTATTGGGGTGTTCTAAGTCCCAATATAGGATCAGAGGTATTTTTCAGTTCCACATAGGATTCAGAGGTATTTTTCACTGCCAGATTTGGATTCCTATGTTTAAGGTATTGCTGGAATCAATCTAATCATATTATCAGTTTACCCTGTTAAATAATAATTGGAAAGTAAAAGGAAATAGAAAATGGTATGTCTCCTTAGAAAGAAGTCAACAAAGACACTGAGTCCATTTTTCCTTTTAAATGGGTAGATTAGGTGAAGACTGGGAAGTTATGTTCAAAGCTGTATATACTGGATGTCAATGCTGAGGATTTACTATAGAAAAGCTGAGCAAATTAGTTATGCTTCTAATGATATCAATGTAAACTTATTTAATAGTTACTAATAAAAGAGAATATTTGTAGGGGTTGAAATGAGGAGTCCTTGGTGCTCTCTGAACTTGGTTGTTTTCTTGCAGACATTTCATTACTCAGATATTATCAGTACTTATAAGGAATGGGATTTGGTTTTAGTCTAGCAGCTTGCTCTGGGATGGTCTTATAGGTTCTTAGAGGCTGGGCTGTTTACTATTGGCTTGTTTGACCATTCCTTGACTGGGGTATTGCTTACTTGATTGTTGGTCTGATTTAATCTTGGAGTTAATCTATGCTCATCTGGGTGATGATTGCTGGTACGGAGATTCCAAAAAGGAAATAAAAAGACCAAAACACCTTCCCACCAGCACCCAGATGAGTATAGATTAACTCCAAGATTAACATCAGACTAACAATACTCCAAGGAATTGCCAAACAAGTCAATAGTAAACAGCCCAACCAAAGAACACCCAGGGCAAGCCACTAAGAGCAAATCCCACTCCTTACTAGTACTGTTGATGTTATCTAGTTTGGATAATGAAATATCTGCAAGAAAACAATCAAGCTCAGAGAGCACCAAGGACCCCTTAATACTCCCATTATAAAAAATTACAGAACTTGTAGCCCACATGCCATAAAAACAGATATGTATCAACTTTGGTATCTGTTTGATTCCAACAGGATTTTGTTATTTGTATTTAAGTAAAGCAAATAATTATCTATACACTGTTTAAAAGAAGGTATATGAGGAGGAATTTTAATATTTTTATCTGATGAATCATACTGTATGTGTTATATTTACCTGGAATAAATCATTTGAAAGAACTCTATTTATATAAATATACAGATATTTTACACACACTTAAGTGTAAAAAATAATCAGTTTTACATAAACTGAATTCTGAAAAATGTAAATGTTTGCATAGCTGTGGTGGTGCAGTGATTAAAATGCAGTATAGCAAGCTAACTCTGCCAACTGCCAGGAGTTTGATCCTGACTAGCTCAAGGTTGACTCAGCTTTCCATCCATCCAAGGTTAATAAAATGAGGTATCCAGATTGTTGGGGGCAATATGCTGACTCTGTAAACTGCTTAGAGAGGGCTGTAAAGCACTGTGAAGCAGTATATAAGTGCTATTGTTATTGCTTTATTGAAATACCTCTTATAGTTAGGAAGTGTGTGCAAAGGTGTGTGTGCTTAAAGTCATTAGGTTTGGATATCAAAAAAACTATCCATATAGTCAGTCCTTAAATAAAAATACTTGTTTGGAATTTAATCTTAAATATACACCCTGAAAGCAAATAAAAGGAAAAGCAAAGTGTAAACTAGATTGTTCCATGTTATTTGCACTACATTTTTTGAAATATTTACATGAATATTAGTATATGGTTTTTTTTACTACAATATAACTTGTATAATAATCATTCATTGTGAACATTCCCTAATGCATTTTTAAGCATCTGGGGATGTTATGTAACACTTGCACAGCCTTGGGTGGATGAATGTTCATAGTTTTTAACAATAATACAGGCCTAATGAGTCACATAACATAATACATTGTTTATCTGGAGTGAGATGGAGGGAGAGAGGAAGTTGAATCTGTGAAAGTCAATTGCATTTTAGTTTGCATAGCAGTTTGAGAAGAGCAGATTTGTATTAAAATGTGAAATGAATGAATATGGATTTCATCCCTAAGACTTTTTACACTCAACTTTGATAAGGTCCAATCATATGAAAATCTTAAATAAAATATTTTTTTGTGATCATATATCAACAGTCAAATCCAACATGCTATTTAGTCAAGTGTTTGAGAAATGGTTTCCCTTTATTACCCCACTCCCCCCAAATAAAGAAAAGATGAAAATCCTTATTTTCCAAGGGCAAAAGATTCCAGCCGAATGGATGTGCCTTTTGCTGCCTGCAGCGTCTGTGGAAAATGCACTTCAGTTTTTGGCTTATATTCCCCCATCACACCTGCTAAATACAAAAACAGCTTGTAGTTGAGTTGTGCTTCAAAACTACTAATACAAAATAGCAGCATAAAACAACAACAACAATCTTTTGTTGTTTGTTCCCATGGAAACTAACAAGTATCTTCCAATGAAACCAAGAGTGGGTGCACTATGGAGAACTTCATCATTAGTACAATGATTAATATGAATTCCACAAATCAACTCACATTAGTGAGCTCCCCTTGACCTCTTGATCCAGATTATAAAATGAGGTCAAGCCTTGGCAATTACCAGAACACACAGTACATTCTGTTCCAATTCATAAAATAAATATATAGCTAAATAAGTTGAGTCTTAAAGTCTTGCCAATCAATCAGAATAGAAAAAAAACAGTCAAAATATTCTGCCAAGTGCTTTTTTCTCTTAATTTTGAAAGACGTCAGAGTTAAATATACTGATTGGTGTTTACAGGAAGTGAAGTGAAACAACTCTCATAATAAGCCTGGAATTTGAGAGCAAATGGTTAGGAGAAAGCTGGTTTGTAGTATGAATTCAAGCTGATATAGTCATAGTTACAAGACAGGCTAATCTATCAAGAGGGAAACAAATTTATTTATGATTATTAGAATGTTAAGCAACTGTCACGACACCATAATTAAATGGATACCATAGGGACAAAGCCATTCCCAAAATTAGACACAACCAAGTCAAATATATTTAATGTCAATTTTAACTAATTAAATGATGCACAGTAATCCACCAAATGCAGATATAGACCTTTAAAATAATTAGATTCCTTCCCAGCACCCATTCTATTAATAAATTTATTTCCTCCTCCTGGCTGTAAAATAAATGTATTACCTGTCCCCCATCTATTAGCAAATGAGTTTTCATGAACTACAATAGCTTACATTAAATTAAATTTACAAATTGACTCCCCAATCCAGTATCTAACACTTTTACAATGAATTTTACACTTGGTTTCCAACCCAATCCAAGAGTAGTCTAAGACATTTTATGGAAAAGCAGGTTGTCATAGTAAATGGGGCTAATGAAGGTGCGCAAATAGGAATTTCTTTACTGTTCTGGCCAAAGCATCAAAAAGAGACATATAGTCAGGGCCACATATCCCAAGCTTTCCCCCTTCCTCTAAGCCAGGCGTCTTCAAACTCGGTCCTTTTATGACTCATGGACTTCAACTCCCAGAATTCCTTAGCCAGTGTTCCTGGCTGAGGAATTCTGGGAGTTGAAGTCCATGAGTCATAAAAGGACAGAGTTTGAAGATCCCTGCTATAAGCTAAGACAGCTATATCCATAGTCCCAGTTCTCCTTTCTGGTGTTAAAGATACATCTATTTTTCCCGATGAAAGAGATGATAACTCCCTCTTTTATGTTGCTGTTGGCAGCAGTAACACAACATTTCAAGTGTCTTGACTTGGAAAAACAGAATACATGGATGAAAGAATTCTTGTGAAAGAAAATACAACTGCCTTACTTGCCCTGCCATTTTTACATAAGAACGTTATACAAAATCTGGCTGCCAACAAAGAGAACCTCCTTGAGACTCTACACAGAAGACATTAAGTCTATGGCCATGTAATGGTCTACTGAGGGAAGAGAGAGACCCCCACATGAGGGATGAGTGAAAAAGGCACTGTTGAATGGGTAATGCATAAGTACCTGTAGGAACTGTACTGATGACTCTCTACTTAAACCAGGGGTCTTCAAACTTGGCTCTTTTATGACTTGTGGACTTCAACTCTCAGAATTCCTCAGCCAGTCCACAAGTCATAAAAGGGCCAAGTTTGAAGACCCCTGACTTAAACAAAAGATTTGGCCACTAGGGAACAAGATTGTCTGTTATTACCTAAAACAAATATCTATTGTAGGAAAGCAAACAATTGAATGTTGGGCCTGGAGATGCTATATGAATATGTCTAATTTACAGGATTCCACATTATTCCTCAATTACATATCTCATTCTGGATATCACAATCATCCCAAGTTCTCTGTTATTTTATTTTTGTAGTATGAGTATGACATGCTCTGAATTTTTGTTTTGCTATTTCAGCAGAGCATTTAGTGTACTCTGTTTAGATCCATGGCTTGGAGGAAGCAATCTCATTTGTTAATGAATTTTTGAACCATGTACAGTATTTTCAATTGTGAACATTTAATTAAAAAAGTTTTTTTTCCAGAAACGAGGCTACTTGCTTCAGTGCCTAAGCTGGATTAGATCTAGTTTGATGCATCTTACATCTGAACAATAAGTGCTTGTTACATCTGAATTTGAAGATTGTTAAAAGAATGCAGTTAATGTGGGGATTAAAATTTGGTTTAGTCTTTTCTGAATTTGGTTATGAGGCTTTTTTTCTTATATGGCAGTTTAAACATGACAGAAGAGAGTTTCAAGGTTGCTACTGTATCTACGATACAGTTAGATCACCCTAGTCTTTTGTCAGTGGCATTGACAGCCATTCAGCGATGCAGTAGTAGCCATATCTACAGAAATAACTCAATATCTACCAAAAAAAAAATGTTTCCTAACAATTGGACTTCTCTAGGTACTCTGGATATCACCTCCAAATAACATTAGGTTGGGACTTATGAAAACACAGAACTTTTATTTGTGAGATCTCTCCTTTTGGAATGCCCTCCCTATAAGATAAACATGGTACTAATTTTGATCCTTTCACCTAAACTATGATTTTCCTCTTTACCTGAAGTAGAGGGTTAGGGAGGGAGGGAGGGAGGGAGGGAGGGAGGGAGGGAGAGAGAGAGAGAGAGAGAGAGAGAGAGAGAGAGAGAGAGAGAGAGAGAGAGAGAGAGAGAGAATATAGTTTTGATTTTAAATGCCCATTATGGTGGGTTCTCTCTCCCTCTCTTATCCTATGCTGTTAGGTATGCATTTCCACTGTTTTACTGTTCATTGTTTTGATCAACTGCAAACTATCCAGAGGACCTATTCTTTTTTTTTTTTTTTTTGGTAATTGGATTTCAATAGCAGCAGTAAAGGCAACAACAACAATAATGTTTTTTTCACTCAAGATAGGGATTAACAGATTAATAAATCTGAACTGGAATTCCCCTTGATGAGGCGCATTGCATCACAGAGGCAATACAATATTCCTTATCAAAGCAAAGGGATTTACCTCAGTAGTCATTTGACAAAACTTGAAGCTTTGACCAGTAGTTCTAACAGGCAGAGGAAGATTCTGCATAGCTTATTGGAATTACTGGAGACTATTGAAATTGCTGGAGTAGACATCAGAAAAGGAGAAGCAAGCAAGATAAAGCAGAGTGATGTAGCTTCATTGCTTCATTGCCCATATTTTTTGAAACAGGAAAATCAATGGAGTGATCCAGTCAAACCTCCATTAATTTGGATCACTTGACAGTCTAACTCTCTAACAGAGGATTTTTGACATCTTTTTCCTAACAAATTTATGTATTTATTTGGAAGAATAAATGACACCATACAATTTGAAGCAAGTTGTGAAGTATTTTCATCTACTATTCATATATCTGTAATGAGAGGTGAGAATGACCTTGGGAGACAACAGGAAGAACTGCAACCTTGACAACTTTCATACAAAAGGTATCTCAACACAGAGAAGAAAAGAAGTTATGGAAAGCATCTCAGAAGGGACCATGTCAGTTTTTTTAGAAAGTAAAAGTAAGGGTGTAGAGGGGAGAGATGTGCTTTCAGACTTGCAGGATTCTGTTACTATAACCTTACAATAAAAGTAGGTTTAGTACTCATGGCTTGTGCTTCTTATCTAGATTATCTTGAAGGGGTACAATATTCTCCTTTACACATTCACTCAATTCCTTCATTTTATCAACAAAAAACAGATATGACACAAAAACCTAAAGATGCAGGAGAAGGAGAGGCAGAGCCTGGGGCAGAGTCAAGAGACGAATCAGACTGCAAGTCATTACATTCCCACAAATGGGTTAACTCCAACTCCTCTTGAATTCCATTAACTCTATCTAGTGCCAATTTAAAGCTAACCTTTAGTTAACTAGATTCTTATGTATAGACATGAGCAATAAATCAGCTTAACTGGAACTTAGGATGTAGTTCAATTCTTCATGCCTGACCAAAGAATCCTTAAATTAAATGGTTAATGCAAATCTATCTATTTTTCTGCAGAGATTGAGTTCCATTTCAGAATGAATGTAAATACATTCATACAATACGAATATATTTTTAAAAAATCCTTACCATCACTCCGAAGCACAAGTAGTGTGCGTGGCCCCTGAACACTTTGCTTTATTTCTCTATTTTATACAACACAAGTGTAGATGCCCACATCAGAAGCTTCCACTTTAGCAATGTATAGATTTCCTGTCCCTTGAGAGACAAACCGACGACCATCTTCCTGAACATATAAGGGATTATTGTTGAAAATCCAAGCAAATGATAAATCTGAAAAATATCAAATGCTTATTGCATATATTTTCCTAACAAAATTGGGAAAGTTAACATGTTTAGAATATGAAATATTTTTAATTAATTGACTACCTTTGTTTTTATTTTGATTAAATGAAATAATGCATATCAGAAAATATTGAATATAATGTTGCATATGTTTTTGTTCTTTGTTTCTAATACAGACACCCTTTTCCTTCATTTTTTATCCTAGTGTGACTACAACAGAACAGTGCCTATTTAAAAAATCAATATACCAAATGGTCTAATATAAAATACAAAACTATCATTTTAAAACTATCATTTTGTCAGTTAGGATAAGAAGGGATTAGAATGAACAAATAGATTGAGTACTGTTAAAGTGTTAAATCAGAGGTTCCAAACTCCTGGGTCTTGGTCCACCACCGAACCTTGGCCCATTCAGAACTGGGCCACAGAAGTGGTGGGTGAGTGCACTTGTGCATGCAGCCCCACTTGCTTGAGCAGGGCACGAGCACATGCATGTATGCAGGTCCATTTCTACGAATGGCAGGTGCGTGTACCCATCGCTAATGCAAATGGAGCTGCTCACATTCTGCTGTTGCTTGCGCGTAATCATTCCCTCTTATTCCCTCCCCCACTGGTCCATAAAGCCAGAAAGGTTGGGGATCACTGTGCTAAATCACAGAGATTTTGATGCTTTGGAATTCAACTTGTAACCTTTTAGCCACCATAGATCACAATCCTTGCTGTCAGCTCAAAAGCAATTGCTGCATAAATATCTTCTTCTTTTTCACACTTCATACTGCATGTGATTCAGTGTACAGTAACAGGCTCAGTCCTATGCACCAATGTTGGGATCAGACTGACAGCAGACAAAAAGAAAGATCTGTGTTTTGATCTTTACTGCTTTTCTTCTTCAGTTCCTTGTTTAGACAAGATCCTGGGATCATCAAAATAATATGATAATATAAGACAGATTGACATGCTTTCCAAAGTTCATTGATAATTATAAATAACAATTAGTTTAGAATTAGGTTTAAGGAGAAGCAAGGTTGTCTTGACCTGACTCTATTAATTTATTTTAAATTTTGTCTTTGGAAAGCCAGGAGTGATTTATTTTAATGATACAAAGATAAAAATGTGACATCTGAAGACTGCAATCTTTCTCACTCTTGACTGGGATGAAGAAATCAGAAAAGGTTGTAAGCAAAGCAAATCCTTAAAACTCAACCAGTATATTTGTTTAATTGATTTGTATCCTGCCTTTTCTCTAACAGCTCAAGGAATTGCACATAGCTCCATTCCTTCAATTTTCCTATAAATACAAGCTTGTACTGGTAATAACTCACCTAGCCCAAAGTCACCCGCTGACTTTCCGTGTTTAGGATGGAATAAACACATTTCTGGACAGCTCATTGTCTACACAGCCTTTAGAATTTTCCACAGCCTTCCACTTCACAACCCATCTATGCCTGACAGCTATTTAGTCAGGTTGTTTTTAAACATGGGTTTGTACTCTTGGGAAAAGCAGTAAACCCATGTTCAAGCAACAGCTGACAATCATAGAAGGAGATTGAACCAAGAAAAGACATAAAGAATACCAGCCTTTTCTGTCCAAATTTCACCCATAGCCTCTCACTTAGTTGCTGTTTGGGCTTACAGATTTGATAGATATGAGAAAACCCTGGTTTCAGAGATGGACTCTCTCACTGCCCAAGAAGAATGGCTCTGGTGGATAGAACACAGTCTGCAGAGCAGGGGTAGTATATTTGCACCAGCCTACAGTGGCCAATAAGTGCTGGTCTGACCCCAGCACTGAGAGATCACCTTAGTGTAATATTGACCAAATATTGGTCAATATGAAGGTTGCACCCAGAGAAAGACTGTTGTGGCTTGTTGCTTGGTTAAAAAGAAAAGTTCATTTTAAAGTCAAAGGTGACTTGAAACTGCCTCAGGTGTAGGTTAGGGATTAACTGAAGGCAGCATGAGAAGAACCAGTTTCATATAATGTCACTGGACTCAAAGCTGAAAAGACCATGAGTTCTAATCCTGTATTAGTCACAAAATCCATCTACTGTAGGTGATTTTGGGTGAGTTCTTCCCTATCAACTCAAGGAAAAAGGCAATGGAAAACCACTTCCAAAATTCTTACAAGGAGACTTCTTCATTTGATGGCCAGGAGTGAAGACTGACTGAAAGACACACCAAAACAAAACAAAACAAAATCCAGACTGCATAGTAAGGTGGAGGAGTGGGGAGATAGACAATTTGTGTTATGTAAGTGAGGAGAGATACCAAGTTTTCCAAGTTAATCAGCAAGAGTTTTGGCATGAGGAGCGGCAGTAAAAACTCCATGCAGAAAACAGTGTGCATGGTTAATACTTAATGCCAGCATGACTAAAAACGGTGAGTCATAGTTGGGCAAGCATTTTCTTGTACTGGCTAAAGCTTCTAATTTTCCCATTGGATTTGTTCCCTGATTTTAACTGATTATTTTGTTTTGTCCTGGAGTAGGACTTCACAGAAGAAACCAAAACACTATGATTTCTCACCTGATGCATTCCCATTCTGATGATGGAAAATGGGTGTCCCTTGGCAGCCCTTAAACAGCATGTCATGGATCAGGAGAGCTGATTAGATCTGGCTACTCTGTCTAAACATGGGTTGGTGGCTAGCTGCTTTCCTGTTTTTCAAGCCTGGAAGATAGTTAAGCCAATGTACAGTTTCTAAATTCAGAAAAGTCCTACTTTTGGCAAGATTTAATGCATTTCCAAAAACTGCTCTTAAAGGAAAATTTCAGGATATTCAATTCAAACAAAAAAATTGCCTGTGTGGTGAAGAAATTATTGAAACATGAAGACGTGTTTTGTTTTATTGCCTTTATTATAAAGATGTCCTGTTCCAGATAATAACTCTCCATCTCAGATTCCCAGATCACCCATATTCATTCTATTTACAATTTTTATTCTCTAACTAATGTGATTTTATTTCTCTAAATACAGCAGTTTTGCTTTACTATGTACTTTTATGTAATACATAGATCAGATTCATTTCATAATTACTTTTATTATCATTTTTATTTCCTTTATCAAAAGTGTCTTCTTTTTTATTGGTCAATGATCCTAATGAAGTTTATTTATTGATTGATTCATTAATACTGAAAAGAAATTCCAAAAGAGCTTGATAATTATATCTTCAAAACTTTCTATCTTTAAAATTAAAAATGTATTTCTAATCCATAGTGGATGCATTGTCTAAATTATCTCAATCTCTGTCAAAGTCCTTTATCCTCCAGTCCTTTGGTAGCTCTATCCAAACATTCAGCAAAAAGAAAGTATCCTATTTTGCCTCTTCTCCACTGCTTAGTCACTATATTGGTATAAAATGGGCTGTCCCCATGGCTGATCCTATCCTTCCTCTCTTACCTTTGTTTCAAGTCACCACAGACACCCATTTTCCCTCTAAGTAATGGGGAGGGGAAGCCCAAATGAGTTTAAGTGCCTTGAGGCTACCCTTGAATGATTTCAGAATATGTGGAAATCTTACTTTAAAACCAGTATAGTTAAGAATGACTTAAGTGTGTTTCACTTTGCTGGGACTGCAATGAATCCATAGGAACAGAGTAGAAAAGAAGACATTGGCACAATAGGTGCCAATGGAGAAAGGACATACATGGACAGTCCCAATAAACCTCACCACTCAGATGAAATCCTTGTGCACAAGACAGTTCCATATATGTACAGTAGACATCCGCAGATAGAAAAGTATATGTGTTGACTTCAACATGAGCAAGAACTCTTTGTCTCATCATTAATGCAGAAATTAACGCACCTTTAATGCTATGTCTAAAGCCACTTTTTGTTATGTTAACAGATTTCCTATGGATGCTGACAGTGTCAGAGCAAGACATTATTTTGGGGGGACATGTTTTGTTTCCAAATGCATATATTTACCGTATGTATTACCAGTCCATGGCCCAATATTGGCAATCCCTGACTCACTATACTTTGTTCCTAAACCTTATCAGTGATGCCTTGAGTTCTGCCATGCTGTTTAGAGTTAACATATCACCATATTGGTATTGTATCAGAAGGACATTAAACCAGCATTGATAGATATGAGCTACAAAAGTAGCCATTGAATTGACATCTATTCCATTCAGTGTTTCTTTTAGAATGGATCCCAGAATTTTTTTTTGGGGGGGGAGGGGAATTATGCACTTTGACATTCTGATGTTTTGACAACCAACTAAACCTTTATGCTAACTTTTTTTTCTGGGTCTCTCCCCTTCTCACCCAACACAGCTATTTCCTGTAAGTGCTGGTACTTCATCCACTTCCTGATTCCCCTGCTGCTCTAATCTGTGTGACGTGATGCCTTTCTGTTTTGTGGCTTCTCACCTTCTGTCACAATTTTGTTTATGGCTGCCTGGAATTTGACAGCTGATGGTGGAGCTCTCTCTATCATGCTCCAGCAGTGGCAAGAGTGGCATGGAAATTAATATTTTTTTTTTCAAATAAAGCACAGTAAATCAGAAGTTTTGAAATTTAGCACTTTAGCATTTCTTAATTAAATGTATAATTCATGAGGTTAAAACTTTCTGCCAACAAATTCATTTCCAAATGTTGCTTTTTTCTGTACCCTGAAATTTCTTCCCATCCTCCATGCCATTTTACAAATATTATTTATGTTTTCAGTTACAAAACCCATGGGATGCTTATGACTCTGTAAACAGCAGTACTGAGGAACTTTATGCTGACTTCCTATATTATGTGACTATAATTAGAAACATCAAGTCACTTGGGATCTATCAAAGATGTTTTCCTTTTGAAAACGCTGCTAACATCGGATGTTCTTGCTTTGACAACAGATGGAAATGCAGCCATTTTTCTCTATTGCTTTTATAGTTAGTTGATGCTGGGAGGGGGAATGTGGATGAGTGTCCAGCTAGTCATAACAATAATAAGTCAGTGGTGGGAATCCAAGGTCATTGGGCCCAGAGTTGACAGAGTTTTGGCGGGCTGGAGAGCTGGGGAGAAAGCCTACGCTTCAAGCTAATTGGGGAATGTGATTTATGATTGTTTATTGGAGGGAATTGTGCTTTGTTACTTGTATCCAGGGGAGGGGATTTAGTTTTTGGTTTCGACTATGTAGTGCCGATAATTTGTTTCTCGAATAAAACATTCTTTAAGGTAAACAATGCCTCGAAGTTTTCTTGAAGAGTTTCATCTGTCGGAACCATGACAACATCTCTCTCTTTCTCTTTCCTTGCATAATACAGTTAATCCACATTTTGCAATAAGAGGTTTGTGAAATCATAACTGCAATATTTTGGCAGAGAGATATGCCTGACATTCAAAACATGGCTTCTCTAAAGCTCAAGCAGAGAACTGAGCAAACAACCAGGAAGAGCAAACAAGAATTTGGCAAGGGAATTAGAAAAGGCAGACATGATAGGAGAAACAAAAGGGGGAAAGACTGACATTCACTGCTTCTGTTGATGATGCTATCCATTCAGTCATGTCTGATTCTTGATGATTCTATGACTGTTAATATTTGATAGTTTCCTGAGTGGTATTGATTTGTTTCCTGGATGATTGCCCACTATATAAGCTTGCTCTTGCTAACCTAGTTGAGACACACAATGGGCCCCTAAGAGACCCAGTTTCACCAGAGCCAAACTCACTGGAGCAAACAGAGGATAAATGGGCAGGCACTTTTTCTTCTCCACCTTCTTTCAGTCCAAGTTAGTGTTCACCCAGAGAACCAGTTTATGGGTACCCAAGACTATTGCAAGTAAACAAGGAAGATTTGCATGGAAGTTTAGTTAGGGGACATTGTAAACAAAGCTTCAGGTAATTTGGACAGTGAAAGAAGCATCACTGTGACTTGCAAAGTGTATGCAGTTGAAAAGGACCTAAACTATGCCTACTGCAAGTGCAAACTCATTTCTTTCTTGGAGATAAAGTGCATATAATTTTTATAAATAACTCAAGGCAGCAAACATACCTCCTCCTATTTTCCAACAACTACAACAACAACTCTTTATAGTGAGTTGGGCTGAGAAAAAGTGATTGGCCCAAAATCACCCAACTGGCTTTTATGCCAATGGGGAGAGTAGAACTCACAGTCTCCTGCTTTGTAGCCTCATGTCTTAACTACTAGACTACTTGAGAGAGTTGCTACAATGACATGCATCAGTGAATCTCTCCAGTATGGGAAGAGAAATGAAGAAAACACCAAAGAACAGGGGAGAAGAAACCCCAATACATGGAAGACTATGTATCAAAAGCAAAGCAAAATAAAAGCCAAGAAGAGAGGAAGCACTCTATACCAGTAGATTTTAGGAACTGGTATCATATTTTTATCCCTTTGGAAGACAGTCAGTTACTACCTTTCAACTAGGTGCTTTTTCACGAGGCAACTGGACTTCTTTTTTTGAAGATGTTTCACTTCCCATCCAAGATAGTGGGGAATGGAAGGATTTCAAAGAGAAAAAAGGAAGACCAGTTGCCTCATGAAAAAGCAACTTTGGGACAACCATGACCTGGATGATTGAAAATCTCCATAGACATTTAGGTTTTTCAAACTGAGCATAACCAAACCTCAATGATTCCTAAGAGACTAAGAACAAAAAAAAGGGGAGGGTTGGTTCACTTGAATGCAGCAATTTTTCTATCACTATAGTTTGCCTTTTGATTTGGAATTCTGGGTTTTCTTTTCTTTTTTTAACTAACAAGTACCATGGCCTGAAAAACAATTAGAAACCCTTCTGCATTACACTGCATAGCTCAATGAATTCAGAGAAAGAAGAAACATATTGTAATAGTATGTGAGTCATAATTAACCAAGACTGCTGATTAATGTGTGCAGACTCAGTATGACTTTGTGAGAAGTGTGTTTCAGGTAGTCTTCAGCTTACAACAGTTCATTTAGTGACCAAAGTTACAACGGTATTGAAAAAAGTGACTTAAGCACTTGTATGATCATTGCAGCATCCCCACGGTCACGTGATTGAAATTCAGACGCTTGGCAACTGATTCATATTTAGGATGGATGCAGGATCCCGGGGTCATGTGATCACTTTTTGCAACCTTCTGACAAGCAAAGTCAATGGGGAGGCCAGATTCACGTAATAACTGTGTTACTAACTTAACAACTGCAGTGATTCATTTAACAACTGTAACAAGAAAGGTCGTAAAACAGCGCAAAGCTTACTTAACAAATGTCTCACTTAGCAACAGAATTGGGCTCAATTGTGGTCATAAGGCAAAGACTACCTGCATTTTCCAGAACCACTTATCTCGCAGCACTTTATGTGACATGTTATGTTACAAAGAATATTCAACTCTATGGACAATTATTTTTTCCTCTTGAGCCATGTGAAGACTGGTCAAATAAGATATCCAACAACAACATGGCCAAATGAGGCCTTCAAAGAATCTCTGTAGCCTATATGAATTAAGCAGGATAGTAAAGCAACTGAGAGCAGAGGTAGCATTTTTTTTTTAATGAGTGCTTTCAGCTGAAACTTTATTGCAGAAGAAGAGAATTCAGGATCTCAGAGATCAAAACCTATTAAGCAAATGGCATTATTGTGAAGGATTTGGATTTTAGTTAACCTATGCTATCTTCACAAAGGACGCTTAGGAAGAAAAGCAATATATCTTTTAAAAAATGGGAAAACTTTGGCAGGTACCTTTTCATTCTCATCAAGGGGGTATTAAACTAGAACATAGAACATAGACTAATGGGGTTGGAAGGGACTCTGGAGGTCTTCTAGTCAAGCAGGGAGTCCATTTCAGACAAATGGTTGTCCAGTCTCTTTTTGAAAACCTTCAGTGCTGGAGCATCCACAACCTCTGAAGGCAAGTTATTCCATTGGTTAATTGCTGTCACTGTTAGGAAATTTCTCCTTAGTTTTAGGTTGCTTCTCTCCTTGATTAGCTTCCATCCATTGTTTCTTGTCTTGCTCTATTGGTGCTTTGGAGAATAATTTGATCCCCTCATCTAGGAGAAAAATTAGGAGAAAAGGAGGGAGCAAAACCTCAGAACTGAAAGGAAACACAAAAAGAGAAGTTGTGACCATGGATGAGAAATCAGAGCTTTATAGGACATAATGTAGATACAAGTAGCATCTGCACACTCAGAACTCAGATTGTTGGATTGTTGTTGTTTTTTTTAACAAGATTTTATTGAGTTTATAAACATAAGGAAAAAATAGGAACAGTGCAGGTATTAGAGAAGGTGTTAAGTTATTCAATTGCTAATGCTTGTCTGGAGCGATATATCTTATTCTTCTTTTCTCTTTTTCTTTTCTTTATATTTTATATTTTCTTTACTTTGTATTAGTTTTTATCTTTATAAACTTTAATAACATTAATTTTAAAAAATAAAGAGAATGAAGCTGGTTTATAGATATTTTTTTTGAAACTGACAGAGTATACTGGTCTCCACAAGTTTCCATAGGTAGAAGACTCATTTTCCAAAAAAAGAAAAGAAAAAAAAAACAGTAATCTTATTTATATATTCAGATGTGTGCTATTTATTAACTCATTTTTTAAGTATTCATTTGGTTTACATCTGTATTTGTGATATTAAAGGCAGATTGAGATTTGGGGAGCTTTGGACTTTTCCTCCCCTCCCCTCCCCTTCCCTCGCCTCCTCCCTCCCTCCCTCCCTCCCCCCCTCTCTTTCTTTCTTTCTTTCTTTCTTTCTTTCTTTCTTTCTTTCTTTCTTTCTTTCTTTCTTTCTTTCTTTCTTTCTTTTATTTGAACCAAGATTTGAAAATAGTTTATCTTTTTAGAACCAAATGCAGAGAGGTTTAGTCTTCCTATTTTTGGAAGCCATATTTCAAATAACCCATATTTACCAAATGTAATGAATAATTTACCTTAGTATGAAAAAATTGGAAACTTCAATTCAGTATGAAAACAAAATGTCATATTAATTAGAAAGCATCAATGATGCAGTTCGGTTAGAATTATGAAAAATTGCTTGCGATGGAGCAGTAAAAGAAGATGGAAACAGAGATCATTTTTTTAATTTGTTATTTGATAATTATACATTAGAAGTATAATCCATCATAGTATAAGTCCAGTGATGATATGTACATAGATCACAATAGGCTGCCACAAAATTCTATTTTCTGTTTCTTATTCAGTGTATCCACGGCCATAATAAGCTGCTGAAAGTCTCTACTGCAGTTTTGATTATTGCATCTGTATGCAGCTTGCTCTAGATAGTTGTACTAAGTTATCATTACTCAGCATAGTGAATAGGATGGATCAGAAGGCAAAGAAAACAGTATCTTCTTATATCCCATCATAAATCAAGAACTGGAGAGAATTATTTGTGATTCCAAACACAAGTAAAACACAATTTATGCTTTCACAAATGCTTGATTAAAATACTTTATAAACAGGACCAAAAAAATACAGTGCATCTTCACAATGTGGAAATGACCATACTTACTGAATTTGACTGGTTCAGAAAGATGAAAATGTTGTTCAGTGCTTGTTTTAAAAATAATTCCAAAAAAACCCCTTACTCAAATTTACAAATTTCACTATAAACCACCCAGGTTTGGTGGGGGGGGGGGAGAAATGAAAAGGATAGACCCAGCCATTCTGTCATAAATCATAGGAGGCACATTCAAGCACTAAATTAGATTTTTGTCCCAAATCTTATACACATAAAAATTCATAAGACTTTCTACACATCTATTCTTCATGCTGGCAAATGCTGAAGAATGTAATGCAAAATGCCTTATATTACCTCGATAGTGTGGTGGAGATGCACAGAATAGAACGACTCCTTGTCCTTCTCTGACTGATACAGCACTTCTTGCTTTAGTTTTCAAGATCTTGGGGAGAGAGAGAGAGAGAGATTGTTGTAATTGTTCTAACTGTCAGGAAGTTTCTCCTTAGTTCTAGGTTGCTTCTCTCCTTGCTTAGTTTCCACCCGTTGCTTCTTGTCCTGCCTTCAGGTGCCTTGGAAAATAGCTTGACTCCCTCTTCTTTGTGGCAGTCCCTGAGATATTGGAACACTGCTATCATGTCCCCCCTCGTCCTTCTCTTCGTTAAACATACCCAATTCCAGCAACCGTTCCTTATATTAGATGTTATATGTATCCATGTAACCATTTTGGAATCGCAAAGCCAATATTGTCATCCATACTACAATGATGTCAGTCTAAGTATGAGAATGGTGTGTGGAATATTCAGGAGTGAAATTAATAAAATCGCATGAGATTTTATAATTTTGGCAAATATTGGCAGTTTTAATTTGGATAAAAACATGTAAGAGTAGCATTCAACCATTACAAGAGGACACGGTGGCATCTGGTACCTGAAATGTTTGTTATGTTTTATCCTATCTTCAATGTAGTTAATTAGACTAAAATAAGAAAAAAAACCCAACTTTTTAATGTAAAGCAGACTTATGTCTTTTATACATTTAACAATATGTTAGCCACATTTAATTGGTTGGGATTTGCTTCCAATAGTAGCCTAAAATATTCCAAGATTGCACTGGAAGCAGAAATGTGCTTTTTTTTAGTAAGTAAAGTTAATTAATTAGTTATTGGATTTATAATATCCTAAACACAAAAGTAACTCCAGGTATCATTAAAAAAAAAGGTTTAGAACACATTTTAAACAAATAAGAAGGAAAGGAAAATAACAAAGCAATAAGATGGTGCATTAGGAAATACAAAAAAGAAGTTAAAATATCAAAATCAAATGTTCATTTCATGAACTTTCCTTTTTTTAAATAGAATTTATATGCATATTAGAACGTATTGATATAGAATTTATATGCATATTAGAACGTATTGTGAAATAGAAGGTAGTATCTGCATATTTTCAATATTCTTAAATTACAATAAATAATAACTGTGTCTTCACTCACACCTCAACTATTATCTTAATAAGAAACTTGTCTTTATACATCACTGAAATGTTATGTTTAGATTAAAAATCTGGTTTAACTCCACATTTTTCTCAACTCAAGTCTCAAAGTAGTAATCCAGTTTTGAATATCAAGCAACAAAATGAAAAGATGAGAGGAAAAAGATTTTCTGAAACTGAGCTTCAATTTCATCATTCTTTTAAAATAAAATATGTAGAGGAGACTGCGAATGAGTAAATTGGACATTACCTGGTCAAATTTCAGATTACATTACATTCTCAGAAATCCTATGGTGGTTGTAGAAGTGGGAACAGAATGGTAGTACTTTGCTATTTCCTTCTTCTGGGGTATATTTTCAATTTTTTTAAATCTGGCTTATGTTCTTAATGTTCCCTGGTCATCCACCACTGAAATGCTAACCAGGCTTGACACTAAAAATCTGCTAAATGGTATTTCCCGTATGATGGCTTTTTTTTTTTTCCAGTTTCAGGTGTGAATTTTTTTTCCTGTTGTTTAAGCCTACCGTAGTTTCAGGAAATTTTATTTATTTATAAGGCTGCCCCAACTCAAGCAAAATGACTCTGGGCAATGTACAGTGTAAAAAACAAACAATAAATCAAAAGAAGAAGAAACCCCCCACAAAGCTATAAAGCAATAAAGAAATGCAAGTTATAAACAGAAAAGCAACTGGTTAACTACAGTTGGAACAAGATGCTGTCCCTAAAGAATATCTTAGCTGATAAGCAAGTTTCTTCTTTTATATTAATATTGTCATTGGGCTCTTTTACCATCTCACATATGTTTCAGTGTGTTCATTTGCACTAGAGCTAGGTGTTTTGGGTGCATGGGTTGATAACTTATTGGAAATAACATATTTCACTTTGTTATTTTTATCTTTAAATGCTTCCTATTATAGCTATTCATTTAACATTTACCCAGTTTAACCCTGAGAATGCCTGGAAAGAGAAATGGTCTAAGATACCTTCTAGTGGCCTGATCATTAGTGATCCCTCTACGTGCCTCACTCTGTCTGGACAAAATTGAACAGAATTAAATGTTATACTGCCCTGTTGTCAGTGGGGATGGAAAGATTCACCTTGCTATGATTATGGTGCTGATATGCAAACAATTAAACATGTTGTGCAAGATTGCCCACGACGTACATTCTCTGGTTCTCTAGAAAATCTGCCAGAGGCGAACACCTGGATAGCTGAATTGGGCATCCAGTTATGATTTCACTTATATAGATAACCTTTATTGTCATTTTTTACTGTGGGCACAATGGCACACATTAAAAATGAAATTTAGTTGCTTGCTCTCAAAGTGTACACATACGTAACCCATATTTAAACATACTATATACAACATATATATAGAGCTACACCCTTACATATAAGTAACATATAAATATTAATCACTGTCCATCTTGAATACATAATGGAAGGAGGAAGCTTTAGAGTTCACAAGGTTAATACTGTATGGAACAAAACTGTGACTGAATGTGGATGTTCTGCTTTGGATACCACAGAGCCTCCTCCCAGAAGGTAACAAGGAAAACAGGTCATGAAGAGGATGTGTAGTGTCCCAGACAATCTTGCAGACCCTACTCAAGCAACGCTTATGTACTATGTCCTGGATGGAAGGGAGGGAACTGCCAATGATCTTTTCAGCCATCCTCACCACTCTCTGCACCGCCTTCCTGTCTGAAGCAGTGATGCTTCCAAACCAGACTATGATGCTGTATGACAGGATGCTCTCGATAGTTCCTCTGTAGAAAGTAGTAAGGACAGGGGAAGGAAGATGTGCTTTTCTCATGCGATGCAGAAAATGCAGGCGTTGCTCCATATCCCTATAAAAGTTTTGTATATAATTTGTGGATTATGTGTATATATTTAATTCTCTTCTGTCATATTCTCATCATACAACAAATAATAATACGTGCTTCTTATCACCTCAGTCAATTTCAGAAAAAACAGCATAGAAGTACATGATCATCTACAATGCCTGCATTGATTCATATATGAATTAGTACTGCTACCTAATACCACAACTAAACATGTCATGAGCTGATGAAGACTTTTCCCTCTTGTCATCAAGAAGAGCAAAGCCGAGGTCAGGTGTTCAACATGAACTGCATTTGAGAATAGGCATTTTAGGCTCAACAGCTTTATTTCACAGACGACATATTCACTGTCTTTCCTGCAGAAACCTATGAATAAGTTATTACCCGACTTGCCTTAATTCTCCTTTTCCTTTCCCTGCCAGCATTTGTCTTCCTTTGTGAGCATGGATGCCTTCACACTGGATTTTGCTACCGGCTGCAATTTCCTTCCAATTTCCTTTCCATTGCCCCCTCCCCAAAACTCCTCATTCCTTTCTGGCAAATAACTATGGCACACTGCAGCTAATCAGTCAACTCTGGAATGATACTCTGTCGATAGAGCAGAGTCCTCAGATGTATTCTTGATCCTTCTGAGAATGGCATGGAGAAACTGGGCTCAGCTGCATCTGGGGGGAAGTCATCATCACCCGCAGAAACCACTCACAACCACAGCAAGCCCAAAATAAGCTTGTGGCAGGCAAAACATATGTTCCCCTGTGTTAACCAAATTAGATTATCTCAAGAACAGTACTAATATAGACTGAACCATATGGGGACATTTCCATAGAGCACTGGGAAACAAGTTGATAGAACAGGCAAGTTATTCAGTTGCCATTAATGCCAGCTTTTGAAATTTCACTTAGGACTTTTGTGATAAGTATTGTTTTTCTTAAAGCACTAGGATGGCATTTCATGCAGAGACAACTTGTATTTTCATGCTGCAGTTGATAAAGGACATGTACAATGCCCATGACACTCATTGGATATGATATCCTCTTTCCTGGCTACTAAAAGGACCAATAAGGAATCTAAATCTGAATTTACAGAATTACAGAATAGACTGGAGTTGGAAGGGGCCTTGGAGCTCTTCTAGTTTAACCCCTGCTCAAACATGAGACCCTATAGCATTTCAGACAAGTGTCTGTCCAGTCTCTTCTTAAAAACCTCTGGTGATGAAGCACCCACAATGTCTGAAGGCAAGCTATTCCACTAGTTAATTGTTCTCACTGTTAGGAAGTTTCTCCTTAACTCTAGTTTGCTCTGTCCTTGATTAGTTTCCATCCATTGTTTCTTGACTTGCCTTCTGCTGCTATGGAAAATAAATTGATCCTCTCAGCTTTGTAGCAGCCCCTCAAATACTGGAACACTGCTATTGGCTGTCTTGAGCAGCCCAGTTTTCTTGGACTTCACCGCATGAGATTGAAAAGATACATACACTATGAGAATACTGTATAATTCTGTAATTCTGTAATATTGTATAAAACCAAGATTTCTGTCGTTAAAGTTCCTGTTTGAGATGTCTAAGAGAGCAGATATGAAGAGTTCGTATTTACTTATACAAAGATTCCAAGTTTTGCTATGTAAATGTGACTACGGTACACAAAGCATGTTTGCATTTGTGTTAAAATATGCATGCCTGAAAATTATAGCAATATGTATACACAATCTCAGCCTGTGTGTGTGTATAAACTAAACTGCATATGTTCCACATCCTCTCTCTATATAAACACATACATATGTCATTTATCTATCCCTCATTCAGTCTTTTTCTGTCTGTCTGTCTGTCTGTCTGTCTGTCTATCTATCTATCTGTCTAATCTTGTATCTCTTTAAAAAAACCAAGTCTTTTCCTGGAATAACACAACTGCATTAAGAAAAAAAAGAAAAGATTTGGCAGACAGGTACTAGGTGAGCTGTTCTTCCAAGCAAAATTTTGCATTCAGTTCCAAAGCCCTTACTAAAATGATTCCTGTTGCTTAATTTAGATATTCCAAACAACAAGTATAATAACAGAAAATGGCAAGAGCAATGACGTTAGAAAATGATAAACAATCTGCTCTAATCACCTGGCA